TTCTGCTAGGGTAATCCTACAGTAATGAGAATCTGCAAAAGAAAGAAATATAAGGAAAGAATGAAACATAAAGAAAGGTGGTAGAATGAACCTATAGAGAGAGAAAAGGAGTTTATTAGAATGGTTTACAGGATGTGGTTCAACAAGCTGTCAACTAGCAAAAGTTTCAAGAATCCAGTTAGCCATTTGATTCACGAGACAGGATGTTTCAGCCAGTCATCAGTATAGGCCAGAATCCTGAAGAAGTAAGCTCTAATGCTAGTGAAGGAATAGTTTTGCTAGTGAGAATGAGAACAAGCAGGCAAAGAGAAGCAGGGAGCGCCTGGGCCTTTTAAAACCTCAAAACCCACCTCCCTGTGACACACTTCCTCCAACAAGGCCACACCTACTCCCAAAAGGCCACACCTTCTAATCTTTTCAAAGAATTCCACTCCCCAGTGACTATGCATTCAAATATATGTGTCTGTGAGGGCCGTTCTTATTGAAATCAGCACAGGTTGTAAAGAAATATGAGATGAACCCCAAATGCACAATGATGCAGGGGGAAGACTCAAGGGGGCAGAGAAGGTCAAAGGTAGTCTAGCCAAAAAGTATTGAATCTAGGGTGAGAGTTGGTAGCCGGAAGGGAAGCTGAGCTGGGTAGTATGTGAGTAACATACATTTCCGCAGAGTGGGTGGTGACTGCCATTAAATTCACTGGTTGATCCCCTGACTCTGTACCTGTTTTCTTGCAAGGCTGTGGCACCTCCAGCTTTTCTGGAGCATGCAGAGCCTGTGTATAACAACCTAGTCTGGCTTCCTTCCCTGGGGGACAGTTAAAGAGTCAGTGACAAGCTAATAGACCAGCAGCTTAAGAATGCAGAAGTGATTTATTTTTCTACTTTGGTGGGGTGCTCTGGGTGACCTCCACGGAGTTTAGCTGGAGTGACTGAGGCCTTTAACAGGGTGCACATCTACTCCTAAGATTACTATAAGCAGTGCCAACGTTCTAAGTTTCAGTGTCCAAGCCTGTCCAAGGTCAGACAACTTCTGAATGCAAAACAAACATTTTTGCAATGGTGTGATAACATTTTCTAGGCTATCTGAGACTTTATTTTTATAGCTATTTTGTTGTTGGCGTGTTTGGTGTGTGTGTCTAAAACTCTGAGCTCTAAGGAGTGATTTAAGACAGAAAGAGGCCTGGTAGGGAGGAAGCCTATTAATGACCCCATGTACTCCCAGGGAGTTATAAAAACAAACTTTAACTACTTGCCATGCAAGGCAGATAGCCCTTTGTTTTCCAGGCTTGTTACTATCTGCCTTGACTAACCCTCTGCAGTAAGGGTACTCCTCCCATTTTCCACCCTCCTCTCCCAACCCTGCCCTTCTTGTGCCTCTCAGCTTTCACCCTGGGATGGCCTGAGCAGTGGCAGTCATTTGCCCTGGCCTCCTCCACCACACATGGACACCTGGGCAAGAGACTGGCCCCTCACTGGACATGTAGTAGCTGCAGTGCCACCAACCATGCTTGTCTGCAGCCAAATCTCCATTCTCAGCCTGCTGCTTCCTCATTTTCCTGCAAAGCTAAGAAAGAGATCAGCTCGCTGAAAACCAGAGTGTTGTGTGGACTGTCAGAGCTAGGAACTGATGCTCATGACCCAGAGGAAGGATGAAACAGGACATTTTGCTCAGTGCAGGGACCAATCAGAGTCTTCTAGTCACAGAAGACTCTGTGCAATAAAAATACTTCAATGTTGCATATGAACACTGGCAGATGGTTTACCTATTTGTTATCTGTGAATATATTAGTCATCATCCAAGCATTCTTGAAAGCAGGTGGGGGCAACTCAGCCTATGCTCTAGGAGAGATCCCCGGGATATGCCCCACCCTCAGGATAGGAGCTACTCAGTGAGGAAGTGAGCCCCAATGGGCACACTCAGGTCGCTCTTCATTGTTTAGTCAGTTAAGGCCTGCTCTCCACCTGTAAGAAAAGCTTCATGCACACTTTCCTGCTGTCTTCTTTAGTTATTTCCTTAGACAGATAGAAGAGGGAGGGAGAGTATAGGAAAGGAAGGGAGGGTTTAGGAGAGGGAGGGAGGGTATTGGAGAGGGAGGGTGAGACCCACAGAAGATGAGGGAAGGGGCTACAATCAGGATGTAAAGTGAATAAATTGTAGAAAAGAAAATCATAATAAAAAATAAAAAAGAAAGAATCTAGCAGCTATTTGCTGAGTAAACGACTAAATGAATTTACAAACAGATGACAAAGTAGGAGTATCAAAAGAATTCAGAGGGAGCAATAGCTGGAGGAACTCAGAAAGAAGATGTATTGGAACTTGGCCTTGAAGAATGTATTTTCAGATACAGAAGAAACAAGCTAATCTGATCTAGGCTGCGGAAATATGAGAAGGGGCAGCTCAGAGGCCACAGCATGGGACCTAGCAAAGAGGACAGTTAGAGAATAAAGTTATGGCAGTGGCTTTGAGGACTCTTGGACAGGAATCTTGGCTATTGTGGTTGAATATTTGGATTTTTTTTTTCCTGCAGAGGCAGTGATCTTGGGTAGGTGAGATTTTTAAGGTGTATGTAGGAGGGCTGGTATTTGATGGTGTTTTGATACATAGAAAGATACTTATTGTAGTGACTCTGAAGATGGGTTAGAGCCCAGGAAGCAAAGAAAAAAAGATGAAAGGGTGGATAAGAGGGTAGATGAAAGGATAGATACTAGAGGTTGAGCCAGAGATATGAAAAGCAAAATTAAAACTGAGACTTGCTTATTATGAGAGTAAAGAAGAAGGTCCAGAACTGAAAGGCCATTTGGGAGCTAAGTGTTAGGATCTGGTAACAATTCCACAAGGTGGCAATGAGTGGAGGGGATGGAGGAAACACCCACAGTCAGTACCCAGGATGCTCATTTGAAAATTAAGTCATGTGCAATGGAGCCTCCCAAGGATGAAGGCCTGGGTCTGTTGAAGGACACAGAAGATCTAGAAAAATCTAGAAAAAACCTGGTCATTCATGTCCAGAACTTAGAAGAAACTTCAACATGTAAGTTAGATTTATGAATCAGTTTTACTCAGAAGAAAAAAAAAAGAATAATAAAATTGAAAGATACAAAGAATAATGCAATCATACAATCATTTTTGAATACAGGGGGAAATTGGAACAAGTAATTGAACTCATGAACTAGCACTGTCAGCTTCTAAAGGGCCAAGTTCCACAGTGACAATCTCCTGCACAGTGCACTTACCATGTTGTATCTTGTAGTGTGCACACAAGATACCAGGTGGGGAGGGAAGCTTAGGTGATCCAGAGCTTTCTCCTAGAGGCTGGAAGTCCTGTGTGCATTTCCACATGCCCACATAGGCCCCCTGCAGGTCAGGCACAAACCCAGGCCTGGGAAGACAAACCTTCAAGTCACCACAGTGGTAGAGACAGAAGCTCAACGGTTTCAGCAGACAAGCTATACATTAAACCAGGAGTGAGGGGTGGGGAGATGGCTCGGTGGGTAAAGGGTTTGCTGTGCAAGATTGAGGACCTGACTTCAGATCCTCAGATGCCATGTAAAAACAAGGAAAAGCTGCACATATCCGTGACACCCCCAGCTCTGGGAGGGGCAGAGGCGGGAGGGTAGCTGTAGCTCTTTGGCCCACCAGAATAGCCGAAATGGTGAGCTTCGTTCAGTGCAAGATCCTGCCCCCACTTGACCCCCCACCAAAAAACAAACAAGCAAACAGAAAAAAACTAAACAACCTTGGTGAGACTGGCAAGATATTCAGTGGGTGCAGGTGCTTGATGCCAAGTCTGATATTCCCAGAAGCCGCTTAGTGGAAGGAGAAAGCGAACTCTCTCAAGTTGTCCTCTGACTTCTGTGCACATGCTATGTGTGTGATAAGTACATGAACACATTAAATAAAGATGTTGATGGTCACCTCTGGACTCCACGTGTGCATGTATGAATATGCAAGCACACACACACACACACACAAATGTAAACAAGTAAATAAAAGGGTGAAATAAAAATTCAACCAGGAACCACAAAGGAGGCAGCCTGAAAGGTCAGGATGGGGATGGGATGCTTGGCAGAAGTGGAATTGAACTGATATGGAAGCAGAAGCTGAAGAGAAAAGGCAAGGGCATGTCTCAGAAAGGTCTTCATGCTATGTCAAGGACCAAGGGACAATGTTAACCTAGGCAGAGAGAACAAGATGGTTGCGAAGTTAAATCAGCTACCTAACTAGTTGTCAAGGAGCAATTGTCCAAGAAAAAAAAAAAAATCTCCAGGAAGCATTTGCTAAAGCCCAGGGAATGTCTGCAGAGAAAAGAGAGTATGCCGAATCGGACTAATGAGATGAGCTCAGGAGGCATAACAATGATGGCTTATGATAGCAAATGTATTTAATGAATTTTAACAAATTAACTCAATTTAAAATCATTTAATCTCTTTGTGGAAAATGCCTTAGTGGAGTGCCTAAATATTACTTGGATCAGAGCTGTGCTTGCTAAATAGTCTGCCTTTCTCCGTGGGATGAAGTTTGCTAGACTTTCTCAAATTCAGCTGATGCAGTAAAGCAGCTAGACTTGTGCCAGGCTCAAGTCGCTGTCCCCACTGTAGCTTAACAGCAGTCTGTCAACTGCACAGCAGACATCCATGATCTTCTTTTTATAGACGAGGCAGAGGGACTCGCAGAGCTTGAAGAAGACAGCTATGAGTGAGGCACCGGTGTGGGAGAGACAGCCTTGATCTGGGGGCACTTCAATTTGACCTGAGCACTTCCTCCATCCCACAGTCCTGTCCTGTAGAACAGTGCTCTAAAACACGATTTTAAGTAATTATGTTTCTTTAAATGTGTTTTTGGCCCCAGTAGATATGCAAAGAGAACGTCAGAAAGATGTGTGAGGCATTAATTACTCAAATTCGACTGGGGGGGGGCTGTTTCTATGAATGAATGCACTTCATTAATTTTTCCCTCCAGCTCCTTGCTGCTTTCCAGCTATAATCTATTTTCTCTCATCCCAGGGGCAATAAGAGGACAACAAAAGAAGAATTCAGTGATTTGAGATTCCAGAACTTCTCACTGCTGAAAAATAGGTCAGAATACTTACTTATTTATTATTAAAGGAATGAAAGTTTTAATTCTGTGACAGATAAACTGACCGTCACATACACACAGAAAGAGAGAGAGAGAGACACACACATTCATTATACAGTGACACACAAGAGAAGCTCACACATACATAGACTCACAGAGAGAGACACGCAGAGAGAGAATTATATCTACACAGACACATACACACATACATAGAGTCATACACAGAGACTTACAGACACATACACATGAAAACAGCTGTCCTCATTGGATTACTACACAAAGTTGAAGAAAGGGCTTGAGGTGGGCTGGCCAGCCAGCCAGTGTGTGATTCATGACTTGTCTGGGAGCCCTGGTCTCCACAGCTTTGCTGGGCAGGGATTCTCCCACAGTCAACCCAAGTCTTTAGACAGCTCAAGAGGGACTCTTTAGGGACCCTCTGTCCCTCTCCCCCTGAGTGACTAGAACAATGAGTTGTCCTGTCCCCTCTGGCCCTAAATGGCTAGGATAATGGTTTGTGCTGTCTCTCTGCCCCAGAGTGACTGGGATAGTGGGTTGCGGACCCTAACACTGAAACCTGGTGCTTGGAACATGTGATTCACCCAGAGCGGGTTCTACGCAGCAATACCCAAAGGTCTCCTTATTCTGGTACCCCTCATCTAGTTCAAGTCAATCTTATCCATGTGTTCTCCAGGTCCTACTATGTGCCACTCTGCCACAGCTCTGCCATCCTAAGGCATGCTGGAGTAAGTCGATTCCCTCTGCAGAGTAAATGAATGCCCTCAAAGACAGAACAGACAAGTTATTTTTCACAAACATTTTTTAAAAGGGGAAATTTGTAGCTGCGCTCAGACTTCTTTAATGTTTACATTACACACATTTGAATAATGCATTTTAAGTCTGTTTTTCTTATTTCTTGACAAAAGCAAGAGATGGGGAATGGAAGGGTTAGAAGCCTTCCTTCCAAGAGAGAGGGTTGAAGCAATTACATACATCAAAGTAATATTTACAGTTACATTTTAGGGGGAAAAGACAGAGAGGAGAGGAGAGTTTTGTTGTTGTTGTTTTTTTTTTTTTCCCAGAAGCAAATTATTTCAGGATGTGTCATAGCATGCTCAAGATATATTAAAAAGAGCAACTGATGATGCTTCTGCAACCTGTTCCAGGCCATTTATAAACCAATTTTTTTAAAATTCCCATATTCACACAAATCTCTGTACCACTGCATATTTTATAATGAAAGCATTATATGAATATAAATTAGTTTTTGAGATGTATAAATCAAATTAAAATGTCTGAAAACGACATATTTCGGTCCACTCTCTTACTTTAGTATCTGTTAAACCAACGTGTTCATTTCCGATAAAATGACAATCACTGGCACTGAGCAACGGAGGAAGGGGGGACGCTGCTGATGGGTCGTGTCACCATGCGTGTCAAGTCCTCTGGGCCTGAGCTAAAGCTTCAGCCAACATGCTAGCTGATGGTGGGGCTTCCGGGAGCTATCGTGAGCTGTGGACTTTAGAAACGTTATTTTGGAAAAGTTGGTTCCTCTTTACAGCTGAATGCCCTGCACTCCAGACAGTGTGATATTTGCGGAGAGAATCAATGACCCCTGTAGTGCCTGGACCATAGTAGACTCTCGATGCATAATAGTCAGGGAGTACTCAGTATGTGCTAGGTTGCACCTTAAGAGCTTACAAAGTAGCTCTGGACCCTGCCAGTCATTCTCAGTCTCCCGTCCAAAAGCAAGAAGACGGAAAGTCCTCCCTGAAGCTGCGCAGAGAGTTATCACATGGTCATGATCAGCTGCAGATAGAAAACAGCCCTGGTGCGTATCTTGCTGCCTTCACATGGTTAACGTGGGTATTAACTCTTTATCATCCTCCAAATTGGAGTATCTACCGACTTCTCAGTAAGGTACACCTCTAAACTTAGTGCTGAGGCCATATGGGCCCGGCTGTGCAGACCATTCCCACATCCATAATCTACCTACAACAGCAAGATAAGAGAGTCCTGCAGCCTTTCACGGTCTGGGCCTGGCTACACTGACAGCAACCACTTCTCTTGTGTGCGATACCCATGAACACAGACAGAAACACACCTGCGAGTGCTTTCCAATTGACACCACACTCAATCGGTATCTGGCACTGGCGTGCAGCAGACACCACAAAAGGAGTGTGTGTAAAGTCAACATCCACAAGTTTGATCTGATTCAGATAGCTTTACTTCTATTTCTAAGTATAGAAAACAGCCTAAGGAGGTGGCCCATTCTGGTCATCATCACAGTAAATCTCGGGCTACCTAGATTTGAATTCAGAATTGGACTCTAAGGATCAGCACACAGCTGGTCTTCTCTGTCTGCGGCCCCCCATCTATGGATTCAACCAGCCACAGAAACATTCTGCACTGAACACATGCAGTGCTTTCTCTTCTTTCTTCTTTAAGTCCTGCTGTCTATCAACTGTTTGCATCATGCCTATATTATATTGTTGTAAGTAAGCTAAATCGATTTGAAGTCTACAGCAGTAATGCATAAGGTTATATAGACACAAATATGAAAGTATTTGTTAAAAGAGATTTGAGAATAGATTTTGGAACCCACGAGTATGAGGAACCAATGCTCTGCAGACACCAATGACAACTGTGTTTGGTTTTCTGTTCCCAAACATGACTAATCGGTTCCTGTTACAAATATCCTGTCAAAGAGGAACACAGGCATTGCTCTACTGTTACCACACCACATCAAGATAAGGGTGGTGTGTCCTTCAGTGGTCCCTGGAGGCTGGGCCTGGCACCAGCGATCTTCACATCCTGCAGAACTCCGGAAGGCAGGATCTCAGACGCCACGATCCTGGGAGAAATCCAAGCATTGATGGACGGTCAACTGTGTTTAAATCAGTCCTCCTGTGACTCAGATACCCGCTCAGGTTTGAGAACCTCCATCAAAGGTTTCACTACTAACAGCTCAGGCCATAAATCTAGAATGAGAGACTTTCTGGTCTCTCTCCTGTGCTTCCATTCTGGCTGAATGGCATCAAGTGGATGGAAGGAGATTAATGTCATGAAGGACCATGGTGTTCGAGTCTCTCCTACTACAATCGTTTCTGACCCTTTATGTGGACTTTTTTAAGGTCCCTGTACTAAGCCCCAGGGATTGTAAAAAATGAACAACACACAGCTCTGACCATGAGGATCCATGATGGGGTGGAAGGGTCGGGGTACAAAAACAGAAAGATACCACTCTTGTAAGGCAGTAAGTCCTGTACATGGCAGAAGAGAAGCAGACCCCGTGGGTCCCAGAGACATAGGATCAGATAAATCCAAATCCAGACTCCAGCCTGCAGCAGACCCAATGCTCCAATCCCTTCCTTCATTTCCCACAAAGGAATGTCTCTTTCCTGCTTCAAACCTGTAGCAACAGCTCTCTCCAGGGGACAAGGTGCAGATGGCTGTGACTTCTCAACACCCTGAAGGGACAGTCCTCACCCTTAAGAGACAGGAACCTTTTCTATGCACAAGGATGCCCCCTGCTGGGTCCCTATGTAAGAACATTGTTGCCTGTCTGCTTTTCCAGACTCTGGTTTTGTCTTGCCAAACATAGCTGCTCTGGGACTTCATAGCACTGAGAGATCCCAAGGGTCACTTACTGTCTCCACTCCACTGTACAGAAGATAGGGCAAGCTTCCAAGTGACCTCCCCTAGCAAAATCTTCACTGAACATCCAACACACTCTCTGAGGTTGCAAGCATTCACTGGGGTGTCTGTCATCTTTTCTCTGAGCCACGGCAGACTCTTAGTAGTAGTTGCCAGATAAGCATCTGAAGAAAGGGGCCAAGGAAATGTGAACATAAAGTCAAGTCATGACAGCTTTATAGTGCTGAAAACCCAGGTTGTTGGAGACATCACTGTGCCCAGGGACCTTTTCAGTGTCAAGTGGATAGTGGGTACACTTAAATGGATGGCTAAGAGAACTCTAACCCGGAGACAAGTCCCAGTAGGAGTAGGGATGAAAGGCAGAGACCAAGCAGGGAGGCTCAAAGAGAGAAGAGGATTTCCAACTCCTCGGTCCACTGAAACAGTGTCCCCGCTAACGTGGGTATGACAAGCCATCCTGCTGTCAGACTTGCCTGCTCTAGCACCCTTTCAGATGACCAGCTCCATCTTCAGTTTTCAGTCCGTGGCATTCCCTGCTTCTCTGAAGAGAATTGTAACTCTCAAGGGCACGCTGTCTGTCCTTAAAAGTCCATCAATAGAAGTAGCCTGTGAGTAATCATATGTAGCTTTCTAGCTTCGCTGAGCCATAGGACTAGATCACGGAGCTGGGGGAGGGGTGGTCCTGATGGCTCCTAGGTAAGGGAAAACTGGGGGTGGTTACAGGTAAAACCAGACACGGGGACTTCTCAAGACATTTCCCCCAAACAATGTTCACAGAAATGAACGAGGTGAAAGGATTCTGGACTTGAGTACTGTAGAGCATGTGCATGTATCAAAATAGCCACAGATATGTGTAGTCATTATGTATAAAAGAGGAAGATTCACCAGGAAAGCCTTTGAGAAACAGCAGGCCCATTTGCTCATTTATCAAATAGGAAGCTAAAATAGATGATTTCACCTTGTAGAGATTTCATGCCTCCAAGTACCATGGGATCGAAAGCCCTCCTCGGTTTCTACTGTAGTGAAATGTAGACCTTCCCCATTCCAAGGGAATTCAGAGGTTTTGTGTAGACGTGTAAAGGAGAGTCCTACTATGTTTGGCTCTTCTATTGGCCTTGTTGGACTAGAGCATGGTGTACAAAGCATTTCTAGGTCTACATCCTCATGGGATGGCAAGGATCATGCCTCCCTGAGTATGTGCACAAGGCATGTATCCTCTCATCCATCTAATCACTCCTGGTTATTTACTAATATGCTTATGCATATGGGCCAAGCTCCAGGCACCACATAGAATTCTGATCTCCTTCCAGGGACCACTATAGCTAGTTTGAGAACTCAAGATGGG